TTTTTTTTAAATCAATCCATCAATCTATGTTGCCCATTGAACATCACCTTTATCATGACTTCATTAAATATAAACATCTCTGTTAACACTTTTTACATAATGTATAATTCTTAACTGCTCTTTTCATGTGTATATTTCCTTTTAAAATCTTTTAATCTGTTATTTTTTCTTGATTGTATTTTACTGTATTTTGAGGTATATCTTATTTGGGAGATGGAAATCTTTTTTTTTTTTTTTTTTCAGATGGAAATCTATTGTCAATTGACAGTTCCAATAATATGTAAAATAAATAATAAATAAAATCCTGTGCTAGGTCATAGGGATGCCTGCCATGGAGTACCTTTCACGCCCAGGATTGCTTAATGGAATCTATGCTTTTTATATGTTGTGTCATGTCCATATGATGTAAGTGTAAAGTTTAATGATGTGTTGTTTGAATCTGCCAGAGTTACTGCTTTATGTAACTGTGGTATTTCTTCTTTTTGTAGAAAAACTCTCACAGTATCTATATTTGTTTGTAGTGAAGGTTTACAATGTTAATCAGGCCATGTCCTCCATATTTACGTGGAAGGGTTAATCTTTCTACAGCAAATTTAGGATGATGATGTTTATGCTTAGTAAGTGTTGTTCTTGTTTTTCTTTGGAGTTGCCAAGTATAACTCCAATGTCCAAGTCCAATGTCCAACTCCAATGTATAACTTAAAAGAATAAGTAAGAATGGCATATGTGTTTATTGCTTTAACTGTGTTCTGAGAATAGCATTTAACCTACTTTGGTATTCTTTAATTAATCATTGCTTTATTTGTGCATGTTCTGTTAGTTTGGCCTGCTGGAATCCTAAATACTTGCTAAATACTAAATACAGTAGAGCGTCGTTTATCCGAATCAATTGGGTGGTTCGGATAACTTATTTTTCGGATAACGAATCATGTACGAAAAAATATATTAATTTATCCCATGTTGAAATTTCTCTCCGTTGCGTGTCGCTTCGTGTTGAATTTTCGTTGATGTTAAGCCTAACGAAGACTATTGTATCGTTAAAAATTATTTTTTTATTTTGTACAAACAAAATAAATTTATTAAAAATTATAAAAACAATAAAAAATTATACTTCAGATGTTAATTTAGTATCAAAAGCATAAAATATTTGAGTAGCCCGAGAAATAGCTGAAGATTGCAGCGCCACAGCACTAGCGAAAATTTAAATTTGCCGACTGGAATGCTTTCGGATAACGGACGTTTCAGATAACCAGCTTTCGGATAAACGACGCTCTACTGTACATGCTCTCTTCCATGGAGTCAATAACGTCTCCATTTCCAAGTGCAAAATCGTCTTTCTTCAGGACTCCTTTTTCTATGCAAAGTGTTTTGCATTTATCTAGACCAGGGGTGTCCAACCTTTTTGTTTCTGTGGGCTGCATTGGAAGAAGTCAAGAAGTTTTGGGCCACAAGTATATATAATATATACTTGTGGCCAAATATACAAGCATATTTAAGGACTCACATGTGTAGATTATAATAATAAGTATTAAAATTTTATCACGAAAAAGGATATTTTAAAAAATTACTTCTACAGACACTTTCAATTTTTACTTAGAAATAGATAAATTCATTTATTACCTTGCTTATATAAAAGCGACAAACAAAAATTTATTTGAAAAACACAAATATTTGTTTTATTTGGGTCTGTAATTAATAAAAAGCGACGAAGCACCATTTTAAAGTGCATTTTTATTCAACTAATATATTTATAAATAATATGTAGCCAAAAAAGTAGCCTAGGCGCCAAATGATAATTTTTACGTCAAAAAAAAAAAACTTAGCCACATTTGGCGCAATGTAGGCAAATCTTGCAATGGTGGAAGAAATACTAAATAAAGCTGGAGTTGTGACTCAAAGGATTATAGACCCAAATGCCGGGAAAGGAGAGAAAGGATAAAAGATAAAGAAGTGAGAAAGGTTGAAAAATTAAATTAAGGGTCAATATTTTCATAACAGAAAATCTATTTAATTTTTCTTATTACTTGTTATATTTTGTCTTTTCTCTCCTTTCCCCAAATCTGGGTCTATAATCCTTTGAGTCACAACTCCAGCTTTATTTAGTAATCCTTCCTCATTCACACATCTCCAAGTATTTGAAAATATTTCCTTTCCACTCAAAAATGAAATATGAATGAAGGTTTACAACTTTGTGAAACTTCTTTTTTGAGTTTATGCTGTTGAAATAAATAAATAATAAAAAATTAAAACGTTTGTCAGTTTTGTTTACACATTTATTGGGCTGCATTGGAACTTGCCTTGGGCCACATGTGGCCCGCAGGCTGGACATCCCTGATCTAGACCAAACTCCATTTGTATGTTGTTGGAGTATGAATGTGTAATTTGTATAAGTTGATAAAGTTGTTTTTGTGTGGATGCATGAAGTTTTATGTCATTCATGTACTGTACATGAGATGTGACAATATAAATTGTGTTGTTTTTTCATGTCTGATATTGTAACCATATTGAGTGTTATTTAACATGTTGAATAATGGGTTCAGGGCTAAGCAGAACAAGAGAGAACTCAGGGAATCTCCTTGAAAAATTCCTCGCCTAATGAATATTTGGCGAGGAATTTTTCAATATTTGGTTTGTTTGTATGGAAGTGATATAAATCCTGAGATGTATTGTTGTTCTCAGTTCTGCATTATGTTTTGAAAGAATGCAATGAGTGATAGATGTATTTTGTAGATGTGTAGAATATGTAGCAGCCAAGTGTGTGGAACACTGTCAAATGCTTTCTGTAGTATGATTCTGTGTTGTTTGTGTGCTTGACGTAGAATGGTCTGTATTGTGTGGGGTCTGTGGTATTGTTGTCTTTAGGTTTCATGTAGGTGATGCCCTGAGTAAGAAATTTTGGTATATATTGTGGATTGATGATGATGTATGTTAGATGTTTACCTAGTTCCTGGTGCAGTGATGTAAACTTTTTGTACCACAAATTGTGATGTTGTCTTCACTAGGTGTCTTCTAGTTGTGTGTTCTATGGTTTTCAAGTGAGTTTGATCGATTGTTACTTGAATTTGAAGAACTATTTTTGCCATTACCTGGAAGGCTCCTGCTTTGAAAAATCTCATTAACAACAATGTAGCCACGAACATGGAATTTAAAAGTCATTACAGCTTATCAGATGTCATGTACATTTATTTCAGCACTGGGCATAGTTGGTATGTTCTGAAAGATTTTCTCCTTCTCCTCAATCCAGCCTGCATCAGCATTGCAATTGTGTGTGACAGCACTGGACCAAAGAAAGGACCAATAAGTTGTGACTTATTCTTCTGTTGGTGTGCCACTGTGCTGTGTATCAGTGATTGTTTTGGTATTAATTTGTCTGCAAAAATGTTTTTCATTGTTTGTAAATAATTTATTTTGTTCATTACAAAATTTAATAAATAGAAGTATCACAAAAGTGTCTTCTTTTAATTCTTAATGTCCTTTACACTAGTGGCATCCCTTAATGAAATCTTTAACCAGGGGAAGAGATAGAAATTGAAATGTCAATGAATGACCACTTTGCAAATTATAAGCAACACTTTCTCGTCCCTCATGAAAGGATTTTTGCCGGTCATAAACTTGAGAATGCTTTGTGGCAGATTCAACATAGGTGTTCTGAAGTATCTTCAAGGTCTTAGAGGGTTTTTCCCCTAATAATACAAAATTTGATATTTGCACATTGTTCTTCCACTGTTTGCCAGATTCTGTCTCATGACATCTCACTAACACAACCATCAGTGAATGATAATTGTTGTCATCTTTGCAGCGAGTACGGATTTGTTTCAACACATTTCTCTATTCCTGACATGTTTAGCTAAGACATGTATTACACATTCCCTTTCTCATTGACTTTAATTGACTAACCAGCATAATTTCAGGAACTTTTATAAGTTACCTTGTATATATAAACAATAACAGATAAAAAACTCAGTTTATACAAATAACAGCAAAACAATATAAATTTTTATTAAAAAAATTGATCAGCACGAAATTCAAGCAAGCTATTATTACTTTTTGAATTTACCTTTTTTTCGGTTTTCCCATATATAATACAGGTATACCTCGCCTTACGTCGGTAATTGGTTCCAGGAGAACGACGTAAGTCGAAAAACGACGTAAGTCGAATTTACTTGTCTCCGAATCTACTTGTCACTAGGCTAAACCATAAATTACCATTCCCGGTTCTGTATTTTATTTATTAATGCATTTTTAATAATATATGGTTAATAAAAATCTATTTTAAGCTTACAAACAAATAAATTTTAGTTTTTAATATAGTACAGAAAAAAGTATTCTAAATTTACGAATGCATGTACTGTAAATACAGAACATATTCGTATATATTTTAATATGATTTTATGTGCTTTAAACGTTTTTCTAGTGATATTACGACTTCAATATTTGTGGCGGACAGACGTAAAGTCGAATAAAATGACTTAAACTTGATTTTTATTTTTCCATATACTTTTTTGACAAACAACGTATAATCGGGAACGACATAACTCGAAACGACATAAGTCGAGGTATGCCTGTATTTATGTAAAAATTAATTTTTTTAAAATCAAACAAAGTTATGCATTTACATTTATTTCACCCCATGAAAAAATTATTTTTATACTTTTTCCATGTTTTGTAGTATCTTCTTTCTGATAGATTTAAATCAAATCAAAGGTTCAAATGTTTCAATAAATTTATTTTTATGTACTATCTAAAGATAACAAATGTGTAATTATGATTTTTCTTTGTATTATTTTTATATACAGGGTATCCCAAAAGTCTAGATACACATAATATAATGTATATATGGATGATGGCAAGCTAAAATAAACAATGAGAGTATATGTGATGATGCATGGCAAATCCAATGGTGACCATAGAGTTGGCATGAAAAGGCATTTTGAAAGTCATTTAAAAATATCTTTAAACCATGCATACAAACAAAAAATTTGTAAAATTTTAAAACTTACTTTTCCAGTACGTGTTGGTGAAGCAGCAGTGCAAATGCCATGAGGTGGCGTAAATATATGCAAAGGATCTGTTAAAGATTTGGGTCTCTTGTTTGTTTCTCCCATTGCTGTATCATCCTGCATGTATTTATATTTATTTATAAATGGTTTTTAAACAATTATGTTAAGGAAATGATAATGCTTTAGTAACAAAAAAATTTAGTTTAAAAAAATGCAAATAATTTACCAATGTTAAATCTTCCCATGATAATGACATTTGAATTTTTGACTGCATTTCTCTGTAAGATAAATATTAATTTTTTTAAAAATAAAAAATTATTATTATTATTGTACTAATTATTATAAATAAAATATCAGTGATATAAAAGATTATAGGTTTTATTATTTAACATACTTTTCATGTGCAGTCTCTCTGTATACAACATCCATACCTTCTTCATGTTTAATCTGACTTACTCGAGAAGGTACTACAAGTGGTACACCAGCCTGACAAAAAGTTTTTTAAAGTATTTTTAATTTCTATTATTAAATTTAAAATAATTTATATAAGGCACTCATTAACAAAAAAGTTATGCACCAAGAAGGAGGTATTGGAATCAAATAAAATTTTATTAATGTAAACATTATGATTATGGTAATAAACAATTATAATATCATAAGCAGAACTGGTTTTGGACTGTTAGCTGCCTAAGTGCTACAGATATTTGATTGCCCCCATCAATGCTGATCGCGAGCAAATTCATAATTTAAGCCAACCCAAAGAGGTCCTACTGGTATGTTTTGTGACAGTTTCATATAATTCACAGGGGTAAAAAAAAGGTCCATAAAATTTTTGATATATATTTATTTTAATTTTATATTTAATATATTTATTTTAATTATTCAAATCAAGTCTCCCATGGATAACAGATCCCTTTGTTCAAAGTTATATTTTCATGCTGCCATAAAATAGAATTTGCAAATTAAATTAAATTATAATAATATTAAAGTATATAAGTATATTTGAATTTTATTTTTTAAAGTGCACTATCGATTAACCTAGGAATTTGGCTGCCTGCATGGATGCACTGCATACCTATCAAAACTGGCCCTGATCATAAATAAAGTGACAATTTCCTGTGCAACAGCAGATATATATCCAATAGTATATACTCTATATATATACAGGGTGTTTTTTTTTTAAACTGATGGTACTCAGAGATATCTGTAGAGCAATCTAACAGCCGGACTGTTGCCAAATTTGGAAGAGTGACTAAGGACGACATGGGAGAGAGATTATGCAAAGAAAATAGTAGTACCTAAATTCGCCAGTAGGAGTGAATTTGGCGCTGTTGTAGCAAAACAGATAAGAATTTGCATAAAACTCAGTTGCAATTAACAAACACATGAATGAATAATCAGACAGACGTTTCAGTGCAATAATGAAAGTTTAATTAATCAGCAAATAACCTTCTCCCTCTTTCAATGTGACCTCCGTCCTGCTGGACAACACATTGCATCCTAACACCGTGTTCTCTATGGCTGAATGTAACATATCCACAGGAATGTTCATCACAGTTCGAGAAATGTTGTCCTTCAAGGCCATCAAGTTGGGGACACCACCAAGATAGACCTTGGACTTTAAGTAACCCCACAGGAAAAAGTCACATGGGGTTAGATCCAGGGGTTAGAACCTTCAACAAGTGCAATTGCAACATCACTAACTATTTATGCAGACACCGATTTTTGCCCTCTACCAGGCCGAACTGCTAAGGATCCTGTCTCTTCAAATTTCTTTATCAAGTCTTTCAATGCATTAATTGATAGAGGACCTCTGCGCAGGTTGTTACGGGTTCTAAACTCACAAAGAGCACCTGGTGCGCTCGATTGGTTAAGATAATAAAGTTTCACAAGCAACGCACGCTGAGGTAACGAAAGATGCATGTTGAACTCTGCTCAAGTTTGGAATGCACTTCGGACTTTTGTCCTTGTCTTTTAAGCTCAAATTAGGTGGCGCTGCTGTCAACCACGTCATTGCAAATTTGGATTTTGGTGTGTTACCAGCACGTTATGCAAATTCTTAGCTGTTTTGCTACAGCAGTGCCAAATCCACCCCTACTGGCAAATTTAGGTACTACTTTTTCTTCGCGGAATCTCTTTCCCATATTGTTCTTAGTCACTCTCCCAAATTTGGTGACAGTTTGGCTGTTAGATTGCTCTACAGATGTCTGAGTACCATCAGTTTAAAAAAAAACACCCTGTATACAGTAGACCCCCTCTATAATACAGTAGATATGTTCTGTTTTATATGAATTCGTGTTTTACGATCACTTAAATACATGAGCCAATCAAAGCCAGGCACGTATGCAGTTTATGGACTACAGCTGTTTGAAAGGTTTTATTCCATAAAATTAATCGATTCTAGACTAATTTGACTCAGCATTTCCAAAACACACACAATTTTTTGGGAATAATCCATATGAACTACGCTATAAACAAAAAATTGTAGGATTTTTTGTTTATAGCGTACCGAGCGTGCACCATTGCTTAAGCTTGTTTTTGTAATGGTGCTTATCATCGAATGGCGCTCGTGTGCTTCCTGATAAATTATTTTTTTTGCGAAAAATTCGCTGAACTTTGGAGACATCATTAATATAAATAAAATTTTTATGGACGTTAAATAATAAATGGTTTTTAGTAGGTCCGCTGCTCGTTTAAACTCAACAGTTTGTGCAATATCTGCTATTGGTCTAGATTCGACCAATCCTGTCGTGACACAAGTCGGCGATGACATTTTACCGTATTATACAAGTCTCTTTTAGCGTGTTTATACAAATACGATCGCAAATTTTTCACTGTTAAATAAGAATCCGTATTATATGAACCCATTTTATAGAGGGGTCTACTGTATATACATGGTATTATGAGAGGTGTTCAGAAAGTACAGAACATTTGGCTATAAAAAATAAAAAAAACAGTAATAATAGAATACAGTTTTATTAAGTAATTAGTAAAAGACCAGTTACTATTCTACATATCTACATTAAGATTAAAACAATTGTTGTAGCACCGCACTAGTTTTTTATTCCTTTGTCATAGACTTCCACTGCCAGTAATTTCAGTCAGTTAGTGACATTCATTAAGGTGAGTAAGGACCGCACTCAACGGTATAGCTCTAAAGCTGGAAGCAGAAAGAAGAGGTAAAGGTTTATGAAGGAGTTAGAATGAAGGAGAAATAAAGTGAAATAGGATAGTGGGAAGTATGTTAGGGTTTCATAAGTGCCTGCATCGCATTTATTGAAAAATTCAAAAACATTTACGAACAGTTGTTAAAAATAACAGTGTAAACAATTACAATACACATTATTTGGCATGACAATTGTTGGCCTGTAAAGCCCAAGGTATACATAGAATAGAAAAGTGATATTTACAGAAATAACAGAGTAATACAGAGCTGAATAGTCCTCTCGCAACAGAAGATGTGTTGGATTGACATAGCTGTAAAGGACCGAGCAATGACTGTGTTACATATTGAATGAAAGTTCACATAGAACCAGTGGGAAGTAAAATAAGTCAGTTAGTGACAGCTTCTTTCACCTCTCATTCATTCCAAAACATTTCAAATCCACACAAGAACTCTTTCAGCTTGGGAAAGATGTGAAAGTCACTGGGGCCCAGGTCGGAACTGTATGATGGATGGTCAAAATCATCCCAGAAAAATTTCTGAAGCACAGCTTGAATAACTGCAGTAGAATGCAGTTGCATGTCATCTTCCTTCATTAAACATTAAACACCATTTTCTCAGACTTGCTTAATTCGTAATTGATCACCATACACTTCTGTGATTCGTTTATGAATTTCTATAGGATGAACTTTGCATTTAGAAAATAAATAACACTTTACAAAAATTGAAAAATTCCGTAAATTTTAACCCTTGACAAAACAATAACAATAAGCCTGCCATTATTGAAACTCCACAGGTGCTAAGCTAACACATCAAAAAATAAATTGATCTTGAATTGATGGCAGTAATTTACCAGCACAAAGTGCTATGTGCAAACATTCTTTATTTTCTGGACACCCCTCATATATAGTACCAATAGGTTCTAAAGTACTTTGTATAATCTCCTCTTGTTTGGATACACATGGTGATACAGTTATGTATGCAGACTTACAGGATCATATGCTATCCTGCAACTGATCTTCCTTCAGATGTTGCAACTGCTGCTCCACATCCCTTATACCCCATTTGCACTGAGCATTTCAATCTAGATTGTGATAAGATTGGCAACTGTACTGCAGTGCAACCTCTCTCAACTGAAACGAGGTTCAATCGCAATCAACATGAGAGTTTTTGAAACTAGATCTAATCATAAAAGAGTTCCCACAATTCCAAGTGCACAAGAAGGAACAAGATAGCTGTGGAACACATGTTGGGCTATCAACAGAAAAATAAAAAAGATATTTGGAAAGATGATGAGATATGGCTATTATTAAATATATGGCAAGAAAAAGTATTTATTTCTAACCAAAACTTCCATTTTTTTGGTTGGCATTCGTGCTTATCGAGTAGTTATGTCAGTTTTATCATTGCGTGCAATAGGCAGGGGTTCTTCTCAAGCGGATTGCCAGTGTGAACAGCTTGACATTCAACTGGTGACAGTTGCAATCAAGATTGTGGGTAAATCGAGATCAAAGTGAGTCATGGATTGTGTGTGAATGCAGTATTACACTCATAGCAGCTGGCATCCCATCTGGTCTACAAATGCTTGACAAGTGACAAATATGGACATATGACAGGCCAAGGAAGTGGGATAACATGAGAATTCTTGGAAACCCTAGCTGTGCACAGCTTAACATTAGCTTGCTGAAAAAATGCCTTTCATGGCAGGACTACAAACATACAACACATGAAAGTGCAGGATTTCCTAAATATACTATCATGCCATTCTCTCACACCAATACTGCTAGGGGTGATCAACTGTCATACTAGTTGCTCTTCAGAGTAGCAGGGGTGGCTGTGCCACTCAACAGTAGAGGCAGGAGACACTTTCTTTGTTATTTTTTTCATTTTGTGCCGTATGTTTACGTCACATTTGTTATTTATTAACTTTTGATTATGGGCAAACTCCTCGGTGTGCTGCTCTCTTCTTTCCCAGTATGGCCGACCTGCTTACCAATAGCCCCCCAGACATTGATTTGGTAGTCATCAATTCCCAAACTAAATCAGAATTCATTGCTAAAGACAATAAACTGCAAATCTGTAGAAGTCCCTGCTTCTGTTATAGGAGCATTGCAAACAAATCTGGCAGTGTTGGGATGCTAACAGTAGGACATACAGCAGTTATTATGCATGCAAATTTATCATTGCTAGTACCTGCCAATGGTACAAGAAGAGACAGGGTTCAGTAGTCAGGCCAGTCTCTGAATGATGGACAGACACCATTGCACAATTGTCTGTCTTGCAATCAGATGACATCTCTCTTGGAGGTCTGTCTGATGTGTCC